ACCAGAACTTTTATAAAAAAGGGTTGGTCTTTAATAATCACGTTTCAAATTTAGGTAAGTATGCATTTCGGGTACAAGAACCCCTCATCAGCTTACAAACACATGGTAACAACGTAACAGATACAATACCAATAACCAGCCAATACAGTGGGATAACCAACATATGCATTGCACTGCATTTACAATTTCTCAATGTAACCCATACACTAAAAACTAAAATATCAAGAATAAATTAGAATACAATGACAATGTGGTATAACATATTATCTGGGACCAGTAAATGTCTTAGTTTCTCCTACATTTTCCAAATTCTGATAGACAGTTACACTATTAATAATAAATATTGTTAAGTATATTAAAAAACACAAAAAAAGGGGGAAGGAAGCTAACAATGAACTTACTCTTATTAAAACCAATTGGTCTCCAGATTTTAGCACAAACAAAATACATCTGATCTATAAGACTTTGTGAAGTCAACTGCTCTGTCACACTGCATTTTACAAAGTGATGTGACTATGTTCCCCCACATCTGTTCAGCATCTGTTTTGAGGTTAAGTGAAAACAATGTCAGTCCACTCCTCATGTAGCTTCAGTCCCACATTGTTATTAATTCTGATGTCTTCCTATATTTTCAGAATTTCTAGGTGTTCCTGTAGTCTTCTTTTTAGTTGATTGTTTACTGTCATAATACACTTGATGCTATCTTTTAAAATTTAAAAAAACAAGTAAAGGCAAAAGAAAAAATGTTACGTTAAATAGACAGCCAATAGCTGTTAAGACTGTGTATCTAAAAATAGAATATGTTTTTGGTGTTTTTGAAAATTAAAACACAAATTAAAAAGATTAGATATTATTTTAGTACCAAACCACACAGGAACCATAGCAAAATTGATTGACAGTAAACATGAAAATAATGAACATAATGATTTAGAAAAAGATAATGTAGTTTATTCCTTAGATTGCAGTTGTTCACATAAAAAAAGATACATAGGGGAAACTGGAAGAAAATTAAAGACAAGGATTAAAGAACATATATATGCCATTAAAAATAATTTGATATCATCATCAGTGGCACAACATTGCAACACTGAAGGTTGTGAAATTTTAAAAGATAACATCAAGTGTATTATGACAGAAAACAATCAACTAAAAAGAAGACTACAGGAACACCTAGAAATTCTGAAAATACAGGAAGACATCAGAATTAATAACAATGTGGGACTGAAGCTACATGAGGAGTGGACTGACATTGTTTTCACTTAACCTCAAAACAGATGCTGAACAGATGTGGGGAACATAGTCACATCACTTTGTAAAATGCAGTGTGACAGAGCAGTTGACTTCACAAAGTCTTATAGATCAGATGTATTTTGTTTGTGCTAAAATCTGGAGACCAATTGGTTTTAATAAGAGTAAGTTCATTGTTAGCTTCCTTCCCCCTTTTTTTGTGTTTTTTAATATACTTAACAATATTTATTATTAATAGTGTAACTGTCTATCAGAATTTGGAAAATGTAGGAGAAACTAAGACATTTACTGGTCCCAGATAATATGTTATACCACATTGTCATTGTATTCTAATTTATTCTTGATATTTTAGTTTTTAGTGTATGGGTTACATTGAGAAATTGTAAATGCAGTGCAATGCATATGTTGGTTATCCCACTGTATTGGCTGGTTATTGGTATTGTATCTGTTACGTTGTTACCATGTGTTTGTAAGCTGATGAGGGGTTCTTGTACCCGAAATGCATACTTACCTAAATTTGAAACGTGATTATTAAAGACCAACCCTTTTTTATAAAAGTTCTGGTNGGAACACCTAGAAATTCTGAAAATATAGGAAGACATCAGAATTAATAACAATGTGGGACTGAAGCTACATGAGGAGTGGACTGACATTGTTTTCACTTAACCTCAAAACAGATGCTGAACAGATGTGGGGAACATAGTCACATCACTTTGTAAAATGCAGTGTGACAGAGCAGTTGACTTCACAAAGTCTTATAGATCAGATGTATTTTGTTTGTGCTAAAATCTGGAGACCAATTGGTTTTAATAAGAGTAAGTTCATTGTTAGCTTCCTTCCCCCTTTTTTTGTGTTTTTTAATATACTTAACAATATTTATTATTAATAGTGTAACTGTCTATCAGAATTTGGAAAATGTAGGAGAAACTAAGACATTTACTGGTCCCAGATAATATGTTATACCACATTGTCATTGTATTCTAATTTATTCTTGATATTTTAGTTTTTAGTGTATGGGTTACATTGAGAAATTGTAAATGCAGTGCAATGCATATGTTGGTTATCCCACTGTATTGGCTGGTTATTGGTATTGTATCTGTTACGTTGTTACCATGTGTTTGTAAGCTGATGAGGGGTTCTTGTACCCGAAATGCATACTTACCTAAATTTGAAACGTGATTATTAAAGACCAACCCTTTTTTATAAAAGTTCTGGTTCTTTTTTCTGTCAGCCTAGGTGTGATAAGCCCTGCAAATTGTTATACCCTATTTATTAGGTTATCTAATTCTGTCTAATTTATAGTCGTGGGTACAAAGCATTGTTTATTATTAAATTATATTTTATTAATAAACAGGATAATCTTTTAAATTATTAGGAGTTGTAAATAAATATTAAAAATCTTAAAAGTATGAAATAGCTTTTTTCCAAGAATCATGTATTTTAATTTATTTAGTACTTTTGAGGAGCAAATCATATCCTCATAATAACCAAATAGTAATAAAACACATTCACGAAACCAGAAAATCTATCAGTATAACGTTGATTTAATAAAAACGAATGTTTTCAACAAACTTGTTAATTGTTTTAATATTAATATCGACCCAGTTCTTAGTCATACTATAACCCAGTGTTTCGCAACCGGTGTGCCGTCACAAGATGAAAGGTGTGACATAAACTTTTACATATTTTATTAATTTCAAGTTTTATTTATATATTTTTATTAGAATCATTGTGTTTCTTACACTTGTATTTTATTCACTGATGAAATAAGATGATGTTAAAGCAATAAACATATATATAGAAATTGATAAATAAATAAAACTCACGCCAAAATTGTATAGCTTCTTGATAAAAAGCACTGAGTTCAGCGTTAATACGATTTTTCTTATATCGCAAGTACTTTCGACGAGTATTATATCGTCATCCTCAGGCAAAAAAAGAACAGATTTGAAAATTAGAACGTGCAGAGTGTTCCAAGTAGAAAACGGAAAAATTTTTCTTGTCAATTTCTAAATTATAGTGTTTGGTAATTCTGTTGGTCACGTGCAACAAGCTTTTGCTGGCGTTCGAAATATCTTAAATCCACACGACTAGCAGCGCATGCGTTGAAGAGCGATTATACTAATTGTGCGACTCTTGGTGCTTTTTGCTGTTTAAACGCCAAGAGTCGCACAATTAGTACGATCGCTCCTCAATGCATGCGCTGCTAGTCGTGTGGATTTAAGATATTTTGAACGTCAGCAAAAGCTTGTTGCACGTGACCAACGGAATTACCGAACGCTATAATTTAGAAATTGACAAGAAAAATTTTTCCGTTTACTACTTGGAACACTTTGCACGTTCTAATTTTCAAATTTGTTCTTTTTTCACCTGAGGACGACGATATAATACTCATCGAAAGTACTTGCGATATAAGAAAAATCGTATTAACGCTGAACTCAGTGCTTTTTATCAAGAAGCAATAAACACATATGTCGTCCCAGTACACACTTAGTCTTTTGGAGTTGCACATTGGACTCATACAGATCTTGAGCAACTCTTGTTATATGAATCCGTATTATACAAACCCGTGTTATGGGGGAGTCTACTGTATATATACATATATATATATAAGGTTTTTAATTTTTTCAAAAAAGGAATGATTTGACAAATGAAATAAACCACAATGTGTTGCTCTGTCTCTGTAAACAAAGTTTTTTTTATTTTATTAGTTTTAAAGTTACATTACCGAAATAACACTTCTGAAATATAATAGACATTCTCACCTGTAAACAAAGAAACGACATTTAAAGTTTATTCCTCACTATATCAATTCCTTTTTATTATTTATCTTTTCCCGCTTCACCATGTATCAATTACGCCATATTGTTTTTTATGTCGATGACAGCGCAACGTGTGGATAAAGTTGTTTTTTAATTTAATTAATTGAAAGAGAGATTTTTCTCTTTACATATATATATGTATGTATATTTAAAGCAAAATGTTCTGTCACCACTGCACACAAATAAGATAAATTTAAAAATAAAGTTGATTTACAATTTTGAAAATTTCAAAACAACTTGTAAATGGTTTAAAAAACATTGTTTTAAATTACCCATTAATTTGATTTCAATTTTAATTAATTAATTTTGATTTTATTTTTAATTGTAGTGTGGCCGTCGGCCATATTGTTACATAATTTTTCATTTAGTTTCTAAGATAGTTTTTAATAGTTTCTTATTCCCTTTTTTCTCAGTCTGTCTAGAACTTTCTTTTCATTTCCTTTCTTCTCTCTGGATGAGACCACTGATTCCAAGAACTGAATACAATGTGTTACCAATTCCAAGAACTTGAAACAAAGGGGGAGCCAAGACCTGAGGGCTGACGAGAATAAAGAATGAGTTAGTCTGGACTAGACCTTCATGGTAGTCAGGAGAGAGAGAGGAGTGCTCTACATTGGAGACTTGTGACTGAATAATTCTGAGGGAAGGACATTTTTGGTTACTAGGGATGAATAGAGAACTCTAGGGTCAGCATTGGTTCGAGGTCCCAACATTAGAAAGAGAGAGAAAAAGATCTATGTCAATATATAACCGTGAAATCTAAATCGGTGATCATCCAGTGACTACGAGATAATCCCAAAACACTGGGTATTGTGATCTTTCCTCTTTCCTGTCTACTGTCTCATAAAATCTGCTCTGTCTTTAGGTATAAGTTAGTAAGTGTTACATTTTAGTTCCTGGATGTGTACTATTGTCATGAATTTACTTGTTGTACTAAACAACTGATTACTGTGTATAGTGTAAATTTAGTGGAGTGGGATCCAATAAGAACCTAGTTCACAAGTGGCAAATAAAATACTTGTGATTAAAAGACTTTACTAAGTATTCTTTGTGCTAGTCTATTCGGTAGTCTATACACATGTTGCTCACAAACATCACAGCAATTTTATTGTTATACTTTTTGTTTCAGTTTTGGTATAAAGTGGCTACCTAGTATGCTTTAATTCATTGATATCTGCAGGATTCCATAATTTGTCATTATCTGGGTTCCAACATTTTTTATTAAGGTGAAAAAGGATCCATGATAAAAATAAGTTGGAAACCTCTGCTCTATGTGTTAACAGCTCTCCTCTCCCATCTAAAGTGATATTGCCGGTAGGTGCATGTTTGTCCTGACAAGCAGGCTTACAACTTTCATCATGACTTGCATCAGTTAACTACATTAATTAAATAATACATTGCTTTCTTCAGTGACTCTTTTATTTCCAAACACCCCTTATGAAGAAATTGTAAAAGCCTTACTGTCCTTAAATTCTAATGTTATTGTTAATTGTCTACTTGGACTTTACTTATTAATAGGACTTAATACTGGTGTTTAAAGATTGGCACAGCAATGAGAGTTAGTTCAGGAAAGAACAAAATTTCTTTATTATATCACCTGTAGTAATAGTTTCTGTACACATATTATACGAGTTTCGGGCTAGCATGCCTCTCATCAGCAGTACTACTACCATACACTAAAAAGTAACAACAATAAAACAGATAAGTTATTGTATAAGTTAAAAAAAATTTTTTTTACATAGCCATAAAAAACAATTTAAAAAAACTCACTGTAAATACATATTCCAAACCCGAGTATAAAGGTATCTTCCTCATATATATAAACATTTCACTATATAATTAAATCAAAAAATATATAATAAATAAAGGTTGTAAATTATTAAAATATGTGCCAATCTTTAAACACCAGTATTAAGTCCTATTAATAAGTAAAGTCCAAGTAGACAATTAACAATAACCCCTTATGAAGAGTTCATTCATGTATAGATTTAAATAAGTACTTATTTAATCAGTTAAAAATAGAAAAATTTCTGAAAGTTTTGATCTTATATAATTATAATAATATTTTATTTTTTTTTTTTTTTAGCTGCACTTGTTAAACTATGGCATAAACTTGGATTTGATGTGTTAGTATTCAATGATTTACATTATAATAGTATGATGCAAATAATTGGACAACTTCAGTCATTTCAGTATACAGATTATGACATTTTCACGTGTTGTATTTTAACGCATGGATCAAGAGGTAAATTACTTTTTTATCTTTGATAAAAATATCTAAAAATTAAATCATAGTATTTTACTAACTATTGTGAGAATCCAGGGGCTGTTTTTCTATAATTTTTAACAGAAAGATGCATTTTAGAAACTTTCCTTTTTCCCATCCATTTCTCATAAAGTTAAAAATGGGAGAATATTGAATATTAACTTAACTGTCAACAAGTCCTTTCTCCCTTCCATCAACCCACGAAAATAACAAAAATATGTTTAAATTAATTATGAAGTGTGAGGAAGTTGACAGTTAGATTTTTAAATTGTAAAAATTGTGTAATTGTAGGAATTATTATATTAGTGTAATTTATTCAAAATAATTTAAAATAAAACAAATCTATGGCTAAACCCAACGTCTTGAAAGGTTAACAGGTAAAAGTAGAAGCAGTGAAAACGATAAGCCATATAGATAGACTAAAGGGATGGGAGAAATGGCCCTCCGAAATGGCGATTGAGCGTCGGGTTTACACCCCTACCTTGTAAAAATTTCTTGTAACGACACAACCAGGAAACTCACTGGATGGCTCTGAAAGGGATACTAATTATACGAACAGAAAGGATAATGAAATGGAATGCGATATGATTTTTATGAATGGTAACAGAAGCAAAAAGAATGGTGGAAAGAAAAAGGCAAGGAAAAATGTCATAGTAATAGGTACTTGGAATGTTAGAAGTTTATTCCAGGCTGGCCAATTTCAAAATCTTCAGAGAGAGCTAGAACAATATAACATAACAATTGCTGCTATTCAGGAAATACGTTGGAAAGACAGTGGTATATTAGAGGGAGATATTTGATAGATATTTGATATTTTATAGTGGTTGTGAAGATGGCCAGTTGAGAACTGGATTTATGATTAAAAAGGGAATTGCAATATTTTATTTTGAATTATCAATTCTTTAATGAAAGGATAGCCACCATACGTATAAAGGGGAGATTTTTTAACGTCACAATGATTAGTGTTCGTGCACCAACGGAGGAGAAGAGTGAAGAGGTAAAAGATGAATAATTACTATTGCCTTACTGTCCTTATTTAATTTCTTATTATATATTTGTCAATGTGGACATTAATGATTAATTTTATTGTCAGTTAGTGGAAGTTCTAGAGACAGTACCAAAACATGATGTTAAACTAATACTTGGGGATTGGAATTCTAAAATTGGAAGAGAAGAAGTGTATCAAGGAGTCATTGGAAGAAACAGCATTCATGAAAATAGTAACGACAACGGAAAACAAGTAGTAGATCTAGCTTCAGGACATAATATGGTGGTTACTACAACAATGTTTCCTCATAAAAGAGTACATTTAGGTACATGGACTTCACTGGGTGGTGGTGATACTATAAACCAAATTGACTATATACTTATTGATACAAGACATGCTACTGATATTACAGATGCAAGATCTTAGTGAGGGCAAACTATAGACAAAAAATATCAATCAAACCTAGAAGTGGAAGGGCAAATAGTGCTATAAGATATGAAGTTGAATCTCTAAAGTAGAATGAAATCAAAATTAAATATCAGTGGGTGCTTGAACAAAACCTGATGAAGGCAAAGGAGAGGAGGCAGAGACCAAGAAACATCGAAGGAAGGTGGGAAAATGTAATATCAAGCGTCATCACAACAGCAGCAGAAGTACTTGGTAAAAGTAGAAAGAGAAGGAAAAACAATTGATTTGATTTGGATTGTAGGGATGCATTAGAGGAAAGAAGAAATGCGAGGATAAAGATGATCCAAAACGAATCTGAAAGCAATATCAAAGACTTCAAAGAGAAGAGAAGACTGGCATCTAAAGTGTGCAGGAAGAAAAAGAGGGAATGGATAAATGCAAAGTTGAAAGAAATGGAGGGAAATAGCAGAACCAATGAAATGAGAAATTTTTATACAGATATTAAGGAAGAGAAGAAAGGGTTTTAACCAAAACTTGGTTTCTGTAGAGGGAAAGAAGGAGAGCTCATTAGTGAGAATAATAAAATTCTGGATAGATGGGCTGAGATTTTGAAGAACTACTAAACGAAGGAGTAGGATCAATTGAATGTCAAATGGATACAGTAATAGAAGATGAGACACAGAAGTTGATTCTGATGAAGAAGGAGAAGAAAGTGCAAATGGGGGATATGAATATCCAAGACTAACAGAATTGAGATGGGCAATAACAACTTTAAAGAACAACAAGGTTCCTGGAGAGGATGGAATAGTGTTGGAAATGATAAAAGCAGGAGGTGTGAAATTGGAACTGGAGTTAGGCAAGCTTGTTAGGAAAATCTGGAAAAAAGAACACATGCCACAAAGCTGGAATAGAGGAATAATTTGCCCAATTCACAAAAAAGGAGATAAATTAGATTGTAGTAACTAGAGGAATAACTGTACTGAATGTAGTTTATAAAATTTTTTCAAAAATAATAGCAAAAAGGTTGGCAGTATACATGGAAAAAACAGTGGGAGATTATCAATGCTGTTTTAGAAAAAACAGATCAACCATACATCAGATTTCTACACTAAGACTGATTCTAGAGAAATGCTATGAATATAATATTGAGACACACCAACTTTTTATTGATACCAAAAAACCTTATGATAGTATAAGAAGAGAGAAAGTTTGGGAGCATCTTCAAGAATTGGGAATCCCTCAAAAACTTATAAATCTCACAAAGTTAACTTTAGGAAAGACTGAGGGTATGGTTAAGATCCAGGGATATATTTCAAGAACATTTGCAATAAAGAAAGGGCTTAAGCAGGGAGATGCACTTTCTACAGTTTTATTTAACTTGGTATAAGAAGTGGTAATGAGAAAAGTATATGAAGAAATGGATGTGGATACAGGTGGAATGGTTTTCAATAAACATTTACAGTGCTTAGCATTTGCTGATGGTTTGTTTAAATTTTTTTGTGAAAAAAAAAAGAGAATTTATTTTTTAGTTTAGAGAGAGAAACTACAAACCGACATTTTAAAGGATAATTAAATTGTTTTCCCACGGACTTTTTCCTGGTTGAAGATGATACATCGAATATGTCACCCGGAATCTACGAAAAGAAGAAAGAAAACAACTATTGGTCAATGGTGGAAAACAGTCCTAATAAGGCAGTGGAAAAATCCAATGACTGCCCCCTTTATAAAAAGGAGGGGTCGATGCGTCAAAGACAGTCTCCAGAGTTGAGTGAACTGTAGGATTACGTGTGTGGATTAGCCACTGCCAGTGACTGTTCTAATCACTGCCATGCGGGGTAGACCACCGCCTAAAAAACCTCATCGTTCAAAAGAACTGTGTGCCCTCTCGAGACTCGAGGACTAAATTTCCAACCCTCACCACTTATAATCAAGGTATTTATCCTCACGCGAAGTAAATGTAAACTCTCTCTCTCTTTAGTACTTGTTATCGGAAAAGAAATAGATATGTTAATTGTAATACAACATGCTTTATATATAGCTAAAGTAGAATAATAAACGGGTGTCATGTATATACAGAAAATCTGTAGAGTGTAATTCCTCTGATTCTCTTCTCCTGCCTCCATCCTGGAACCAAAAGTCCGCACACGCGACCGTTCGCGTAAATAAAATTAATGCCCAATATTTTTTTTCTGTGTCCGTTTACAAGATACAGTGGTGTCATCCTGACAGGGCACTAAAGAGGTGCCGACCCTGCGGTCACATTGTTATATTGGGAAGATCTAAAGAAGTAATTGAGGAAACATTTAAAATAATGGATTACACAGCTATAGATAAAGGCTTAGCAGTTAACGATGAAAAAACAAAATATATGAAGTTAACAAGGAACGAATGCCAGTGGTCAAGGGTACAAATTCTACATATAAAGGACCATAAATTCGAAAAAGTGAATAAATTTCAATACTTGGAACACAGTTAACAGAAAAGAATGAAATTGATGAGGAAATGAAGGCAAGAATGACAGTGGGAAATAAAAGCTATTATATGTTAATTAAGAAGAATTATAACATCTAAAGAAATATCAAGATGCAGTAAGATTAGAATATATAAAACTATTATAAGACCTGTAATCATGTATGGTTCTGAAACTTGGACGCTGACAAGAAAACATAAACAGTTGAGAAGATTTGAAAGGAAAATTCTGAGAAGAATATATGGACCAGTGCAGGATAGGGAGAGTGGAGAATTAAAAGTAATAAGGAACTCGAAGATTTATATGAAAATCCTGATATAGTAACAGAAATTAAAAGAGGGAGATTTTGTTGGATTGAGCATTTAGAACGGATGGAACCTGAGAGAAAAGTGTATCAGATGTACAGAGAAAGGCCAGAGGGAAGAAGACCGAGAGGGAGATCAAGAAAGAGATGGGAAGAGGATGTGGAGGATGATTTGAGAAAGATGGGTGTGAGTTGTTGGAAAGGGAAGGCCCAAGATAGAGAGGAATGGGTGGAAATCCTGGATGAGGCCAAGGTCCTTCAGGGACTATGAGTGCTGAAGAGAGAGAGAGGAAGTTGGCACTTAACTTAGTCCACAGGGAAAATCTAAAAAACAATTGAAGGAAATACTAAACCTTCGAGTCGACTTTGTTTAGTTTTCATCATCCAGTAATGAAATCTTCGACATGTCATCACTGCTGAACAAACATGTATCACTGCCGAATCCAAATTCCCACACCGGATGGGGATATAACAGACAGGCACCCATTAGGCTCGACAGACATCTTTAGAAGACATGATAGTCTTGGCTCCCGCCGTAATCATAGTCCCCAAAGGATTGTAAAGTACTATATTATTTTTCCGACTTTCCAACGATTATCGACACTACTGTGTGCCGGAAATAGCCGTTCCCTAACGGGTACTTTACGCGGATTCGCGTTAGTGTGCCAGGCCTGGACTTTAAGCGTGCACCGAATTAAATAATGACAAAGTTTGTCAATAACAAAATCAAATATTTAATTAAACTTCTATTAATAAATTCTATACAGTATTTAGTAAAAATCAAACAATAATTTATTCAATGGAACTCAACAAGAATTAATCCGACAAACTCAAATCAATCTATTTCTAACTTAATTCTATTCCCCTTTGGAATTCGACAAAATCAAAGAATTAACTTATAAACAATAATTCTTATAAATTAAAGATCCTAATCGTCACCTCAATATACTAGGAACCTATTTCCTCAACTCTCAAGACTTTCTATAATCGTCGATCCACAAATCGAATAACTTCAAAAATCCTATCGGACATCTCTCTCTCGTTCACTGCTATAAGCTCGTTGCTATCAGGAATTCACCTCGTTCGTTTTCACTTGAGTTAGAGGCTTTATAGTGTGAGGTGACGTCACAATTCTGAATGAGCTCACTCTCCTCATTTACATAATTATCTGTAACATTAAATTTTTCTCGTTTATCTGGCAGATTATTTTCCGACAATACTTCGCTAACCTTTTACATTATTCTTTTTAACAATTATCGGGATGCTTTATTATTTTAAGGTTTAGCGATTCCTAACTGGGTTGTGGGGTCTTCCCCCCCCTTTTTCTCGGTGCGGACTTACTTTTTCCGCTTGGGAAGCGCGAGTTTTTCTACGGCGCTTTTCTTTCGTCGGTGAGTTGGTTTTTCTTCTATTTTTAAGTTACTAAGGTGAATGGTGAGGAAACCGTCTTAACTAAACATAAGCCCCAAACAAAATATAATGAAAGCAAAATAAAAGTAAAATAAAAATAAAGCTCAGACTTGGTTCCTTACAGGATTACATTGATATTTGTTTGTGCTTTGTGCAAACTTCCTCCCGAACATCTTTCCCTGGTCTGTGGATAAGTTTACTGCTACGACAGACCTCACTCTTAAGGAGGTATTATAATGTTCCAGTTGATGTAAACTAGTTGTTAGCGTTAGCGTTTGCATATAGCCTAGGAAGTTGATCTCTAGCTCAGGAACACATATCTAAAATTGTATCTTATGCTTATTTTTCTGTTAAAGTTTTTAGTTTTGTTAACCTGTTAGCCTGACTTTATTTGCTTACATTATTGACTTAACTGCAACCTCCCCACTTGATTTATAGCCATCCAGTTACAATATGAGCGGATCTCACCAATCAAAGAGGTTTAGAGTTTGACGCTGTACCCTCTCCCCGGCTTCTCACACTATACTTCATATTACAGTAATTTTCTTATCATTAAAGTAACAGTATCTGATATAAAATTTTGTTTTCAACAGGTAACATTTATACATCTGATAACATTCCTGTTGATATATATAAAGACATCATTTATAAAATTTGTACAGAAGCTTTACAAGACAAACCAAAATTATTTGTCATTCAAGCATGTCAAGAAGAAATTAATCAGAATGGTAAATGGAAAGTTAAATATAACTCTTGATGTTCAAAAGTTAAGCAATAAATATAAAAATCAGCATATTTTTTTTTAAATAAATGAAATTATGCAAAAGTAAAATATTTTATCAAATTACTTATGTTGAGTTCAAATTTGCAAACAAAATTTGTATAAAACATAATTCTACATGCAAACCAGTGTGGTGGAATTGGTAAACAAAAAGTCCATCTCTGACCTTACCCTTTTCTAAAGCTTCACACTACTATTCTTTTTATAAGAAAGATACCACTGGGTATCCATTATTTTTATCTAAAAGTTTTGAATAAAACGTACTAAAATTGATTGCAAGAATCAAAAAATGGATATAACGAATTTAACTTGGAAAAATTTTCAAGCACGTCACATCTTAATAGCCAATAGAATTCTACTTTTATTAGTTAATTATGAAAAATTGATTTTAATTAATTAATTAATTAATTATTTAAAAAAATTAAATACAGTAAAATACAAAAAAGTAAAGATTTGATAAATGATGTAATAAATGGCCCATAAAATAGTTTCTCCCACTCTGGCTACTACAAGAATAGTTAATTTCCTACCAAGTGTGACTAAACTGAAGTATATACAGTGGATGATCAGTTAACGAACATAATCTGTTCTAAGACTGTTTGCTATTTGAATTGTTTGTTAACCGATTATTGATTTACCATAGGTTTTTATGGAAATTTGATTAATTCATTCTGGAACTTACAAAAAATAAAAAAATATATGCTTTCTTACTATGTTTATATATATGTAATAATAAAAATACATATATACACAGTCTTGCATTTTTATTAGATCCAATGTTGATTGCTTTTCTCTCCAAGATTTTTCAGAAGTAATTAATAGCATTGTAATTGTAGAGATTCTCAACCTGGATGCCATTCTAAGACCATTGTTTTGACATACTCCCACTTCTTCAAAAGATGTTTAAGAGCAGATATCGGCATTAATCCTCTTTTTTCAGAAGAAAACATATTTCTTTGAGTTTCTTGGTGTTTTTCATTCAAGAGTTCTTGGCATTCTTCTGTCATCAGATCAGTTTCAGGTTCCGTTATGAGCTCTTCAATGTTCTTTATTTTTCAGATGTGAATTTTGTTACTCTTTAATCTGCGTGAGTCTTATACAGTAATACCTCGATTTACGCTACCCCGACTTATGCAAACCCAGAGTTACATGATTTTCAAATCTCGTCGATTTGTCTTTTGTTTGAGCGCCATGCAACCCTTGATTACTCACTCTCCCCCACACTATTGTTCAGCTTACATGTTCGGATGTGTCGCGCGGAATCCACACATAGCTACAATTTATTTTGTGTTAATTATTTCTGTGTTTGTTATATCTACGGATACTTGAAAGACTCTACTATGTCATCCAAACGAAGTAGAACTAATTCTTCTGCATCAAACAAGAAAAGAAAAACTTTATCTTTGGAATGTAAAGTTAACATTGGATATGTTTGTAAAGTTGAACGAGTTAAGCGAGAATGACATCATCGTTATTCCTATTTCGTTAGACTTTTTGAATGATTCATTACTAACGCATTTAACTCGTTTGACTTTACGAACGTACCCATTATTAAAGACTTCGATACAAAAATGAACATTTGTGAATTGGCAAAGAAGTTTGATCTACCGGAATTGTCGGTCAGAACAATTATAAAAGGCAAAGAAAAAAATTCTCAAAGCTGTGAAAAATGCTCAATCTTTAAATTCAAGCATCATTTGTAAACGTCACAGTATTATCGCTGAGATGGAAACAATGTTAAAATTATCGCGTAATAATCAAGTAAATGTGAAAAATTGTAAAATAATATAGGCCTAATTTGTTATACATATGTATTATCTAAGATTTTATTAAACATTTTTTTCTAAATTATTGTTTTCTTTAGTTTTTGGCCTCGATTAAAAATTATTTATATGCGAAATTATACCCCGACTTACGCGAATTCGACTTACGCGGTTACCTCTCGGTCCCACCTATTACTTAAGTTCGGGGTATTACTGTACTGTATCTTTCTTAGATAAGATTGAATGGCAGCCTACTGTAGACCTGTTCAAGTCATACTGCCCAGCAACATCATACATCTTCCCACTCTTTACTTTTGCTATTATACTCTCACCTTTCAAAAGTAAAAACTGACACAAAACGAGTGCCTGCCCAACAGGCTTATGAATACTATGAAAAAATTGTTTGTTAGAAAAATGAAAGAGTGGAATTATGGGGGAGAGCTTTAAAGTTTGTGAATGTTATTCGATCAGTGTATACCATGTTGAGCGTCGATGTTGGTGTCTCCCGTGCTCCGAAAAGTTTAGAATTGTTGCCTGAAGACAAGGGAAGACCAATTGGCATTCATTATTTTTCTCGTGTTTGTTCTGTGAGGTGTTCGTTGTCCGAACATAAAAATCTTTCATGAAAGTGTTTGTTATCCGATCACTCACTGTAGTAGAATTTCAAAATACGAAATTTGGAAAAAAAATCAATTATCTTGAACTGACAAGTGCAATTGTGTCCTGAGAATTTAAACCAGTGAATAATAAGCTGGAACAATCCTATTAATTACATTTTGCAGTTTTCTCTTTCTCTTTTAGTTTGTTGCAGTTATATTCGGATCTTGGTTTTACTTTTTTCATTGTTTTTCTATTGACTGTTTTAAGACCAAATTATTTTATTTAAGCTTTAATAAATAGTCATAAATAACTTAAAAACAATATAAGGGCAATGAAAAAATTAATTAGTCAAATTAGTCAAAAAACAATTGATATCCAAAGTAAAACATCTGAGATGTAAAAATTATGGCACCCAATATGAAAGTCAAGTGTTTTCATGGGAGCTCTTTGGTAAAAATAAATTTGGCTCTTTGAAGCAACACCATAAGTGTTTACATTTACTTTCCACATGTGATCTCACAACTAACAAGTGTTAAGTGATTTTATCCACTTGGCCACTGGTAGGCCTTAAATTAATAAAAACTATTTTCTGAAAGTATAGAGTTTTGTTATGAAATGTCCTTTATGGGTTAATATCATTTTGATATCTAAATTTATTGAAATGTTCATTTTCTAAGAAATTTTTTTAGATACTAATTAATTAAAAGGTATTTTTCTTACATCACATTTTACCAATAGTAAACTTTGAGGCCAGAGTCAAAAGAATTTTATTGACTCTGACTTAGGCAACTTCATTCCACAACAGTTATGCAAAGTCATTTTGTTTCATAGTACGAAGCTTTTGTACAAAATCTGAGATTCCACATCATTTAGACTTGGCTCAGAGGATCACCTGAATAAAGAAATGAGATGGAGAGCAATAAGAAAGAATGAGGAAAAACAAAGTCAGTAACAGCCGATATCTGTGCTAGTACAAGACATATGACAATATCCACAACTTATCAAATTTTGCAGTGTGAAAATTTTGATAGTCTGGTGCTGTTCCATTTGCACAGTTCCAGATTAATGTTCCTTATATCTTATTTTTCTGTATTAAAATAGTTTGTATTTATAATTTTATCAAATATAAATAAAACTATAGCGGTCAAAATGTTTGTTGCTGCATCATTTTGAATCTGTTGGTTCAGGAGAAGATTTATAGATACACATCATCTCAAAATCTACATTAATTAAATTAAACTGTAACTGATTTCTATCTGTCTGTTTGTCTCTCTCTTCACTAGATGATGACACATGAATTAGTACTTCCTGTCAAGGGATTATCTATAAGAAAGGTGTATTATTGAAGTTTACTATTATATTTGAAGAACTGATGTTAAAAAATAATTAATTAATTAGCAAAATCTTCAAAGCATTAAAAAACATATCATCATCATGCTAGATTGTGTACTGTACATGCACTATGTTTACTGTATATACGGCAGGTTTTTCAAACCATTACCTATTGTGTCTGTAATTCATTAGACCCAACTGTATTTGCATGAGTTTTATTTGTGTGAGCAAAGATTATGCCTACTTGGAAATGACAAAACCTTGGGGCTTGATCTTCAAGGAAAAGTAAACAGGTAAGACTGTCTAGAGGTTCAGAGAACCCGTCTTCGAGACAGGCTAGGCTTAGTTCTTAGAGAGAACGGCAAGCCACTCTGTGAATCTCTGAGAGTGCCTCTGGATGTACAAGGAGTACTATGATTCCTTGGTGCAAAAAGCTTTGAAGTGCCTTCATTTATGACACATTTTTAGGCTATTCATCATAAGCTAATATTGGGTCTATGGTTAAAGTATGTGGGTACTGCAGTGCTCTGAAGTGGAAGAATGAATCACAAGGGATGTGCTTCTCTTCTGGCAAAGTTGAACTGGATGTTTTGTTCTTGTTCCACTGAACCTCTTCTATCACTATTAAATGAGACTCATCCTGACACAACATTTCTTAATTAAAGAACATTGGGGCTTAAAATAGTGCCTTTCAAATGACAAGTTTTTGTGTCACTGAAATACTTGAAAGAAATTTCATGTCAACATTCAAAATTAAAAGACAGATATATCATTTAATAGGTTCTTTACTTTCTGCACAAGATGAAGATGCCAAATATCTTCATTTTTTTTGCAGACTATCAATCCCTGTTAAGTCAAAGAATGGCTCAATTTCCATGTTTAAAGTCCAACTTAGAAAGTGATTTTCAGAGAGTGATGCATGAATATACCACAACCCATATGTAGTTGCTTTTCACATGGCCAACGCTATGTTGCATGCTCATGTGTTAGTAGCTGCAATTCTCTGTTCATTTGTGCTCCTGTTAATAAAACATGAAATGTATATCAGGATGTTTATCTAGAAAATATCCCACATTTTTAATAGGAATATTATGAATCTATAACAAACAATTCTCTTCAGATATACTCTTTAGGTAAGTAAATATAATTTTACAAAATAAGTATCTTTCATCAATAATGGGTATTACAGCCAGTTAAAAATAAAATTTAATTTGTCAGAATTGGATATTTTTTAAAATAATTTCTTAGTTTA